AGAACAGATGATCGCGTCCTGAGCTATAAGAATACCCAAATTAAAGTGGTATTAGATAGAGCCATAAAAGTTAAAACTAGTTTGACCACAACATGAGTAAAGAGGTGCTTCATGAACCTGTACTTACGAGCCTTGAGAGAGTAGTGCGTCGCGTCAAGAAGGGAGGAAGTAAAGTGAAAAGAAAGAGAAAGAGGCGGGATAAAGAGAGAGATAGATTGATGCGGAATAAAACTAGCTGCAATACCAAAAGAAAAAGTGACCCTGATCATGCACAAAAAAGAGCACCAGACAAAACAATCCCCCACCCGATAAAAGGTTCCCCCCACATCCAAAACAATCTATTATACCAACCTCTTTCTGTCCACATACATCTTCGTACCTACTCCAAAAAAAGTGAGCGTTGACAAGACGAAGCATTACAGCTGTAGTTATGTGATGTATACTGAGATGATCTTGTATAGATGCCCACTGTATCTGAATTGCAAGCCCAACGTCAACGACGTATGGCAGTGCGTGAGGCCGATGTCGAACAGGCCAACAGTGCCTTGGATCGGCAGCAGCAGCAGCAGCAGCAGCAAAATGCGCTTTTGGATCGAGTCGTTGGTTTGGAAGCTGAGAACCAGGTGATGCGATCCGAGCTCACCACGATGGGCCGAGCAGTTGCTGGTATGGTAACTCGTGGTGCCACTACTGGTACTGATGCTACCGATGAGAGGAATGGTGGCGAGCAAGTGCAAGCTCGTGGCCGCCGTACTCCAACTGCGTCTGTAAGTTTGTCGTGTTCTGTCAAGAGAGATTGAGATGGCTGGTGCAAAGAAATTGCTCATTAAATAATATTGCCTTCATATATAAAAGGAGTGCATACGCGCTTACAATGGACGGCTTGGAAACGCTGGCCTAGGGCTCGACCTCAGTTTCACCGATAGCTACAACAAGGAGGCTGTGAAGCGCCTTGTTGAGTATGTCCACGGTCAAGGGTGCTTTAACTTGAGCAAGGGCCATATCAGGAATATGGTCTACCACCACTTCGACCATAAGCGCACGATGTCGAGATAGTCGGCTGCAACAAAAGCCCAGAGAAAAGTGACGAAACGGCGTTACCAACGTCGATACAATGTAAGCAAAAGTAGTAGTAGAAGGGCGTCGCATAAAATAATGAAGCTTGACGATGTTAACAGAAATCGACACGGCGACTTAACGTTTTCCGACGCCATGCATTCGAGCTGGAGGAGAAGTACCCTGGCGGATCGTCATTGCTGCAGGCCGAATGTATGTCGGATGAGGAGACCGATAATGAGGGGAGCGCTGAAGGCTTGAGTAGTGTTAAGCACGTGTCAGTCTTTGTGCCCGAATGGCGCAGTGAGAGGGTAATGATTTAGAAAGCGGGTGTTCTTTGCATACACATCTTATTGAAGAAATTGGTATAGGCAAACGTTTTCTTAGCGAGACTCGACGAGTACAGTGCGCCCACTGTTGATGCCCAGCCGAATGCGCTCGCACGAACAGCGGCTCGAAAGGCGGGCACCTTAGTCGAGAAGGTGCGCTCGCAGCTGCAAGACTGGATGCTTGCATAACTAATAAAATAGTTACCAGCTATATGCTGTGCGGGTTTGGGGTGGGCAAAAGAAGTTTATACCATATGTAACTGAATGGGGGGTGGGGGTGTGTGGGGGAGAAAGAGACTGCTTCGGAGAGGATGAAAGAAAATTTGAAAATTGAATCGTAGCACTGCTTCTACTATTTGATTTACGCCAACATCTTTTTCGGCAATGGAATTACAACAGTTCTACCACTTGCATGCGTTTGATCATACTTTACAACTGCCACCTGCCCATATAGACGATGAACGGGCACGATGCAGTCCATGTCTTCAGCACGAAAGTGGCTACGCCACGTCTCCAGGTAACTGTCAACAAATAGCGGCTCATTGCTGCTGAAGATGCTGTACCACCTAACAAAAGCAAAAACGTGCTTTTCAAGCTGGCCGTTGACCATCAATTCGTGCCGAAAGAAGTACTGGATCTCGCATGGCCAAGCGATAGGCTCGCCTCGATCCTCTGCCTGGTACAACACCTGTGCATGTGCACCTCGACGTGATCGCGCTTCTTTACTTCTGTATAGCTGACCCATAATGCGTATGGTCTTAATTTTCTCGTATCGGTTGTTGACAAAAACTCGGCCTGCTTGCGCTTCTCTATAGTAGTCGAGTTCGGCACTATATACCGACCGGTAAAATGCGAGAAGGTACTCATACACTGGCTCAATCATGAAGCTTGTTGGCGCAGTGTCTAATGGATACGCATCTGGCGGCAATGGCTCGCTTCTAGTGGCCAGCTCTGTACTCGTCGACAGCGCAAAGAAATCGTGAGGGTCAAACGTACTATACGCAATGTCAACACTTTGCTGAATCGGTTGTACGATGTCAAGGAAGCGATTCAAAAAGTCGAAATGGCTTGGTCTATCATCGAAGCGGGCTTCAAACGACCGGACAAAGTCGCGAGCACCTGTCTTTTGCAAGAACTTCTTCATAAATGTCATCTCGAACGAATCCTTCTGGTTGGTATCGATCTCCTTTAAATACCCATTATATCTCTCAAAACTAAATAGCCAGAAAGCGTATAAAGGTCCAAAATCCTCGATCGTTACATCCAAATGCATATGTAGATGCATATTCGGCGTGACCTCTTCTGCTCCGTACAAGCGTTCCACACCACGGCAAAAGGACAGCAAAAGCGTACTGGCTTCTTCGATCTCATCCATAGTGATTGATGGTTTGACTAGCAGTCGACAGGCATTTACAAACTGCAGCCAATGTTGAAGGAGGTGGCGGGGGAGATGGTTTTGCAAAACAAATGGCGAGTACACAATACACCACGATTTCCAATCATCAGCAGTCATGAAGGAGAAGCCAGCTTCTATCTTTCGCTTCAAGGAAACGTAGTCGGGGGGGAGCACAATGCTGTCGGCCAATACCTGCATTTCTCGAAGGTCCTGCCTCGTCAAGTCGCCATTCTCGATCCATGTCTTTGTCATACGCTTTGCTGTCCCGAGGAACAGGTTATGCATCGGATCAATGATCGTACAGCGAACAGGGTCAAAGTATTCAAGGCGGTGCAATTCTGACCATCGAGTTCCGGTGTCGCGTTCGATTTCTCGGCGAGCAGCAAGTGTGTCAGCTTGCCGCCATTGTTCGGCGTCATGGCGATTGCTTTCGCGTGTCCGCAGCTCCCATTCCTCCATTTCGAATCCTGAGTAGTCGATGTCTGTTGTACCAGGAAATACGAAAAACTGGCGAGCGCATTTATGGCAAGCACAAGTGCTAGCATAGGAAGTGAACCCACCGGTTTTTCTGGCAGCAGGTATGTCACAAGCATTGAGTAGTAGGGCCAAACGTACTTGTGCTCCCTCTGGATGCTCGTTCGTTCCAACTGTTTTCCAATCATACCATTCAAGCAAATCATCGACCATTGGGCGCAAGTAGTGGTTCATGTCGGATGTGCTTGGCTCTCGCGGACCTGGCATTACTCCAATGAGTATAACATTCTCCGTTTTGTAACGCTCAGATCGAGGGAGATTATTGACGGTCAAATATAATGCACCGCATGAGTATGTCGAATTCGTGAACAGGCCGAACCAGTCAACATTGAGCGTCAACAACAGCGAACGAACCTCTGCGGCAAAGCGACGACCAGCACGATCAGCAAACTCTCGCCACATGTCGCCATCATAAACGTCGTAAAATGTATTTGTGACACGTCTGCGATCGCGCCATGTTTCGATCATCGTCTCAAATCCCGGTCGTTTGAACAGTCGCTCAATACTCGCAGATAAGGGCTGGTAAGCAAATTCTTTGATTGGCGACAATCTATTGCCCACTGATCTGAACAATGCTCGGCCACATAGGCGACTGTAACGGATATCGTTATTTGTGTATGTACGTAGGCAATCTGGCGTCAAAAGGTAAATGCTACACACCCAGAGGTTTTTTGTGCAGATTTGTTTATAAACAATGAAGGATTCAAAAAATTGCCTTTTTCGGTTGAGCATCTAACAAGGTGGGGGGAGTGGGGGTTATGCTTTTTGGGGGATTGAGAGAAAGCTTCAACGATCGTTTCAATAGGCGTAAACAAACAAGCAAGCAAGAGGGCGTTCAGATTTTTCAGTTCAGAATAAAAAAATTTTTATTTGTAAAAACGACATTTGAAAAAAGTACACAGTAGAAAGAGAAATGGAACTACGGACGCGACTACTACTACTACTACTACTACTACTACTACTACTACTATTACTGTCATACTTCTAGCTAGGATACAGGTCACGACGAAGGTAGATATTCTAAGGGAGGGGATGAGTATGCTTACCTCACTTATCAGACAACATAAGACGGCAAGTATTTGCTATTGCTCTGTATGGTATAAACAGTTGATTAGAAAAGGCATCCTAGGACTAATACACATATCAACTTCGTCCATTACCTTATCATGCGATTAATGTAAAAGAGCTGCCTGCTCTCTCTCGTCCTCCCCGTGAAACTACACAAGAAGTAAAAAGGTTACAATTGAGTAAGATTGACTTAAGCGAAAGGGCACAAAATGAGGACAAGACCCCCTTTTAGTAGTTTGAGACGTTGAAACTTACCATATTTTAGCCGAAGAAAATGTGAAAGAGAGAAAAAACGTGAGAATCACGGAAAAAGTCATATATATACCCCCTTATTCATCACCGTCACAACTTTAATACACAATTAAGCTGCACCAAGTGTCGTTTTCTTTCTTTTTACATCAAACCAAAATGTCCACTTCCACTTTCCGTCTTGACGAACCTGAAAATAACATCCATCGCTGTCAATACTGCGACAAGGTTTATGCAACTAACTCAAACCTTCACCGACATATTCGTGAAAAGCATACACTGCAAGTACCGTGGAGGATATAAAACTGAGTTTCATATAGTACTAATGCATATCATTTGTTAAAAGTCAAAACGTCCCTGCTGAGTCGATGTACGAATCGCGTGAAACCGAGGATAGCGATCTTAGAGACGAAGGAGATGACTTCGATGATACTTTGGTTATTGATCAAGAGGACTTCTCCTACCTTGAAGTTGATGACAGTCACGAGGCTGATGAAGGGGAAGTTAGCGACTTCAACCAGCAGTAGGGCGCCTACCATAGATGGGACTCCAACCCATTCTATCTATTTAAAAACGAAATGGAGATGCAAGCCCTGTTGTTTTTCAAAGGCTCTCAGGACAGATTCTCCAACAGAATTTTAAAGAAGATTTTGCAGCTCTTGAGAAATTTATCGAATTATCTCACAAGGAGCGAGATTTGATTCAACCAAGACCGGAGGGCTTCGACCTGATTAAAAACGTACCAAAGGATGACAGAATTTGCAAGAGCCATGATCCCAGCAGAAAATTTCCCAAGCTCAAAGTTCACAGTTGCCAAATCAACAAAGGAGAGAGCCAGGAGCCTGCCGATCTATTCATGATCAAACCTTCCAGGTAGTATCTTAGCAGTACATTTACACTTTTCACAAAAGTGCACGTCAGATAAAAAATACTAACACCATTCACTTGGGGCTTATCGTCTAGCCACTTGGGTATGGTCATGTCAAACCCAGTCAAGGTCAAACTCCTCAAGCATTTTCTTCCTGACTTTACGGCGAACAAACGCTATACCTTGAATCAAGGTCGAAAATGGAAGGATAACTATCATTTCCAGGCACCAATGGTTCCAAAGGAGTTATTCAACACTGAGGCGGATTATTGGGTTGGCGATGTTGTTTATTGCCGTTCTACTCGCCAATATCAAATCATCGACACGTTCTTTACTATGGAGCAAAACGTTTTTGCTACATGCTACCCTGTAACGCTAGACGACAACAACAGATTGCTTCTTCTTACGTATTACAAAGTGAACATACCTTTGTCCAACATGACAATGCCGTATATGTCGATTCAAGAACTGGAGGGAAGATACGATATCTGCTCGTTGCAACTGACCGTCTCTGGCCAAATTGAATGGTTACCGAGAAATTGCCTCTCTGATATCCATTTGAGCATGATACAAAAAGCTCTCGGATACCGTAATCGCGTTCCGACCAATCTTCAAAGCGGAAGACATTTGAAGGTTCGGGTCGTCCTACTTTCCTTGTTTTCCGATGATACCAGTGGCAATCGATCCAAGAAGTGGAATTGCTACGGTACTTGGATGATGAACGTCGCTGCATTTGATTTAACGGACAGTAATAAGTACGAGAACCACTACTTTTTATGTACCAGCAATCACTCTATAAATGCGAGGGAGATGACCGGGCCACTTGGTGAAGATCTTTGCCAGCTAGAACGAGGCCAAGTTATGTACGACGCCATTCTTGGTGAAGACATCTTTGTAATTGCACCTGTACTTTTCTTCCGTGGTGACAATGTGCGACAAGCCAAGCTGGCGTTGAACAAAGGGTCGATGGCAAAGCACCCTTGTCGATACTGTTATTGGCAAGCGGATCCCTTCAAGCCCATCGATGCTACTGGTCAGCCTGTCGCATTGCGATACAGTGCTGGATCTCACTTGGTACAGGAACGAACTTGGATCGACTTCCGCGACTTTGTGAGAGGAGCTGAAGAGCGAAATGGTAGAGTACATCTATTAAACAGTGGCCGAGTCGTTCGACTTAACGGAGGCACAAACAGCATGACGCCCTCCTCCACAGCGGACTGGAGTAACCTCAGCTTTAAGCTAACTGGAGCAGAGGTACTACTGAACTTGAATGCCGTGGACCTCTCAAAAGATTTGCCAGTCGAGATTCTGCATACCATTTTGCTCGGGATGACAAAATACTGTCTCAAGATTTCGATGCAGTACTTCATCCAAACTAAAGAAACGGATAGTCTGACTCTACTTTTTCGCAACTACAACTCTCCTGCCTTGCACCGAAACTTGACCTCTTCGTTGAAAATGTACCGATCGTTTCTTGGTGGTGACTTCAAAATTCTTGTCCAGCTTCTGCCCTCGCTGTTACAAAGAGCAAGAAACAACAGCCCTCAACTGTCAACGGACCACGATTCGTTTTCTGCAATGTTTGAATGTTTCAATAAGCTTGCCGCACTATCGTCGCTTGTCTATATGCAAAAGATCGACAATTTCGATCAGTACAAGTTGGAATTAGATACGACTGTAGCAGAAACAATGACTGCAATAGATAATCTCCAGCATACAACAACGCCGATCGCCGAAAGCAGAAGAACTCCAGCTACTCGAACAACCGCTATACAGAGAATGAACTTTTCTTCTCTGTGCAACAGATTGAAAGCACATCTTCTTATTCATCTGTCGCAAGATGCGGATCGAATTGGTGGAGCCGTTCATACTGAAGCAGAGAGGTGTGAACAACACCATAAATTTATGCGTGAGCTTCTATGCCACACCAATAGGCAGAACGGTGGACGAGACGTGGCCAGAAAATTTGCAGAAGAATATATGCTATGTCATACATGTGAAGGTGGTCGTTTCGTGGATTGTTTTTCAGGAGTTTGGGAAACCTGCTGTCCAGGTGTTATCGCTTCGTATGATCCTGTGTTGGTACAAAGTGGGCTCGTTCTGGCAGACAACACAAACAGCAGTAAGAAGCTTAAGGTTGGCCTAGCTGCCTTGTTCTATAACCGCCATACATCTTCCAAGACAAGTGGATTGACCCTAGGTGTCATCACGGCGAAACAAGGCGACGAGCTCTATGTTCAGGCTTACGATTTTGTTCTGGCTGCTGGTGAAGCTGCGTCAATGCAAAGTCGAAGCATTTTTGATTGCTGCGTTCAAGACATCGCAAGCAATTTTATCGTCGTGCGGTTACCTCGCGATGATTTCGTCCTTAATAGCACTGACGAAGATCTTGTTGTCGAAGTTTTCGACATGTCACAAAGTCTAATAATGAGAGCGCCACAGAGAGACTCGTTGAGCGTCAATAAGTCGAAGTTTGGGACTCGCTGGTGGCTCAAAAACACGACATACAACTTTGAAAAAATCGTTTACTAAACCCATTCCTTCAATCTTTTCATTACATCACTTCTCTTCTTAATACGTTACCTATGTCTCATTCCTATACCCTTTGTTGATTATTCTTCTATGCATCTTAACCAACCTCTTTTATATTCTTTCTGTATGATTTCTCTATGCGTTTTATGACCACCTTTTATATTCTTTCTGTATGATTCTTATGTCCGTTTTTTATGCCCCTCCAAATCCTATTTTTTGTCTTTCGCTTCTTTTCTTACATGCCAGTTTTGATTAATATATTTTATGCCTCTTCAGTAAAGTGTTGTTACAACTACAAACTGATTATTTTTCTGTGATTGCGTAATTACATTTTCATTACAATGACATTGTAAAACTGGCGGCTTAATTAGCGGAAACCAATTGTGATTGGACAGATCGTGTGCGTGGTGGGTGCTCACCTCCAGGAGGGGGGTGTTGAATATGCGAGAGAGTTGGGGGCCACACCTGAAAACGGATGGTGAGGGTGCACAAAACACCTTTTTGTACAAGAAATGCAAACAAAGACGCACCAAAAAAGTCTCCCAGGTTGATTTGGGGGAGGCTGCTCACCTCCTTTGAAAACGGGCCGAAATTGTATCCAATAAAATCATGGTTTCTTAAAGTTTATCAATATTTATATACAAAAAAGGATTTGTTTCCTCTGGGTGTGTATGGCATGTCGGACATGATACATAACGTCGTAAAGAATCAATTTGGGTAGCGATGCCGGTGATACGACGCAATGTGGCAAGAGAGAGAGGAAGACGGTCAGAAGATAGAAAAGGAAGATCTTCGAGAAGGATTGCACAAAACTCAATAAGCGTGCTCGACGTTCGTTCAGAGAGGAAGTGCAACTGGAACAGAACAAGGAAAACAAGGACAAGAACGTAGGGATGAGAATACCCTGGAAGCAAGGGTGTTTGTGGATGAAGGTAAGCAGCATCTTTAGAAGGATATGAGAAACTTTGAATGAGTGAAATAAAAATGGGTTTTCCAAAAAAAAAATTGCACACACCTTGTTCGTCAATGCTGGCTGTTTCTTCTTCATTCACATTGTCTGCTTCGACATCCCATTCAACATCTTCGGCATCGAGCAAACGTTCGGTGCCGCCAACACTGTCTCTGTCTTCCTCCACTCCAAAGACATTGTCCTCGTCAGAGAACGACAAACGATGACTCGCAGCAGCTATTATATACCGTTCAACCATTCAACAATAAATCATATATCCCTTCCTTGACACTATCCATCACTTATCTCAACATACCAGGAGAGGAAGAAGGAGCATCAATATCATGAATAGCTATTCATCCAACAATAAGTTATCTTACTCTCTTTCTATTATCGATCAATTATCTCGACATACCAAGAGAACGGGAAGTGGAAGGCTCATTCGAAACATCATCACCAATATCCATTTCGTCAATATCCATATTATCTGATGCTTCAGATAAGGAAGGCTGTTCGCCTTCAAAAGTGGCTATGGGAGCGCTTACTGTGTTCACGAAACGTCTGGTTACTAAATAATGTCAACACTTTGAACGCTACTATGAAACAAATATACCGTTGTGTGAGATTCCTTCTCTAGCCGAATTTACAGCACGCTGAGTGTGCTGCTCTCTTTGTATACGAGTAACCTCGCGAAAACCGAAAATGCTGCTTCTGAAACATTCCGGACAAAAGCATTCGACCCTTTCTGGATTATAATCCATGATGGGAATGCAATGAGGACGAAGAACAACAAATTGGGACGATTCCATTTTTTATTTTCTTCCTTAAATTGACCCCCGCTGTTGTCCCTTACTCACTTATGAATGGGTCTTTCCTCCTGCTACTACTGGGATCAAGAAATCCTTTTTATACTGTGTTACATATTATGTTTATACATCCGCCGCATTGTTGCGTTGTGCTTGTGTATAAACTTCATGTAAAAAAATATATAATGCAGATACATATACGGAATACAATATCACACAAGCTTTTCTTCTGCATGAAGGAAGGAGCAGTAAGATGCGTCATTTTGCATAGAATCGGGGACAGAGTTGCTGGAAGCCATTTTTATAGGGGGTGTTCACATAGGGTAAGATGAAATTGTAAAAAAAAAAGTGGGGATGTAACCCCCCAACAACTATTTTCTAAAAGCAAAGTAGCCAGAAACCATAGCATTGCTCTTAGCACTCTCATGCATTAGCGCGCTTTTCAGTTACTGTTATGGGATAACCTCGAATGCAGATCAGGTAGTTGGTGCATATCTACTAAATTTAGTCTATACAACCTGGTTAGTTTTTTCCTTGGTACCCCAACAGCTTGCCACCACATGTCAAGCTGTTTTCTAACCACTTGACATTTGGTTTTTCGTGCGGTGATGTGGCGAGATCTTATTGATCGTGCTGGTCGTCGATTCGTCGAAGAGATTTGATCGCTTTTGCTTACGCTCAACGTTGACTGGTTTGGCCCGTTCATAAATTCGACTTACTCCTGTGGTGCAATTTACCTAACTGTCAACAATCTCCCCCGATTTGAGCGCTATAAAACCGAAAACGTTATACTCGTTGGAGTAATGCCAGGTCCTCGAGAGAACCCAGCACATCTGACATGAATCATTACCTGCGCCCATTGGTTGATGATTTGCTTCAGTGATATGACTGGAAAACGATCGGGACGAATGAGTGTCCAGACGGAGCGCAAGTACGTTTGGCACTCCTACTCAATGCTTGTGATATACCTGCCGCCAGAAAAACAAGTGGATTCACCTCATATGCAAGTACTTGTGCTTGCCATAAGTGCGCTCGCCAATTTCCTGTTTTCCCTGGTACATCAGACATCGACTACTCGGGATTCAATTTGGACGAATGGGAATTGCGGACACGCGAAGACAATCGAGAGAACGCCCAGCAATGGCGACAAGCCGAGACACTTGCTGCTCGCCGACAGATCGAACGTGACACTGGAACACGATGGTCTGAATTGCACCGCCTTGAATACTTCGATCCCGTTCGCTGCACGATCATCGATCCAATGCACAACTTGTTTCTTGGCACGGCAAAACGTATGACCAAGATGTGGATCGAAAACGGCGACCTTACCAGGCAGGACCTTTGTGAAATGCAGGTTTTAGTAGACAGCATTGTGCTCCATCCTAACTACATTTCCTTGAAGCGGAAGATCGGAGCTGGCTTCTCTTTTATGACCGCTGATGATTGGAAATCGTGGTGTATCGTATACTCGCCCTTTGTCTTGCAAAACCATCTGCCCCGCCATCTTCTCGCTCACTGGCTGGGCTTCGTAAACGCCTATCGATTGCTGGTCAAGCCTTCCATCACCATAAACGAGATAGAAGGAGCCAATACGTTTTTGCTGGACTGTAACGGTGCATACCGTTACGACGATATCCAACCTGCATGGTTGACGATCGACAACGCATGGTTCAGACGATAGGATGACTTGCGGTCAACCGCATGGTTGAATATAGAGTAATAGGCGTGGATATTCTAGATAGAAGTTATGATGTAGATCAATACTTAGACGATAGCTAGCCCCCTATTACTCGACGTATATATAAAGACGGGATCCTGAGTTATATGGATCCCTATCGTTTTATCCTTTGATATATCCGAGTCTCACCTTATTCATTGATCCACACTGTCTACCCATTCACGTTCCCGATTGTAAGTATCTGGGCCGACACTGTTACATCTGGTAGCGGAAGCGGTTTCGTAAAACCGTGCTCGACGTTCTGAGCAGAGACTATATCAAGACGATATGCACACGACTTCTCTTGGTCGCACGATCATCAAGAATAAAATTTCTAACGAGTCTTCTCTTGGCCTCGGACGTATTAGAACTCTTTTTTCCAAACTTACAAAAAAACTCAAGTTTCGTCGCACCTCTTTACGTACAAGCACTCAACCCGATTCTTCTGATACTGACCACTCGTATCCCGGAGCAAAAATGGCAGAAGACCACCCACTCCGCAACCTAAACCAGACGACTGGCCGTGCTTCGTCCTCGCCGGCCATTGGACGTACCTCGGGTCCGAGTGCCCGTGCAGCACATGCTGCAGACGATGCTGCATCTTCAGCGACGGCTACCTCAGGGGCAACCCTCGAGCACGTAGCAACCACGACCAGCGCAGGCACTGCCGATCAAGGGGCAGCCGAGGCGGCGACGACGCCCATTGTCGATCAGGGGCAGCCAACCATACCCCTTGGAGCAAGTATTGCGACGACGGCTCTCCCCATGGACACCAACACGGCGTCGGCCATTGCCGAGTTGCAACGCCACACGGCAACGACGAGCCGGAACTTTGAGGGCATCCGCTCGGACCTCGATACGATCGACGGTCGTTTCGGCCGCCTGGAGGAGGCCGCCACCCGCACTACCACAGCTGTCGACGATCTGACGGCGCGGTTGGGCACCCTGCTTTCCGCTGGCGATGCCAACTTTGCCAGCAGCATGGACGAACTGCGTGTCACGTTTATGACACTGCAGCAGACGGTCACCGATCAGCAGCATCTGATCACCGACTTGCACCAGCGCCATGCGACGCAGGCAGAGAACTTTGCCAGCATGTTCGAGCGCATGTCGACCCGCCTTGACGCCATGCACGCTCCTCTGGTGCAACCGCAGGTTTCGACTGCCACCTCTGGCAATGCGACGACCAGCAATGCGCCACCTGCGGCACAGCCTGCGACGACAACTGCACCACCAGCCACCACGAAGGACAAGTTGCCCCAGGCCGGCAAACCACCGGTGGTTAACGACATCACCGGCACTTGGGCCTCAATCTATGCAGAGGCTCCGCGACGACATGGCGGCAGTAGCAGCAGCGGCAGCAGCAACGGCTCTGACTCCAGCGACGACGATCGCCACCCGCGACGACGCAGCAGTCACCGCTGCACCGAGCGACGGGAGCACTCGAGCGTCAAGATCCCCACGCCAACAACGCCCTTCAATGGCAAGGGGAAACCAGAGGACGTCGAGGCCTGGCTTTTTGGTTTCGACCACTACTTCGCGTTGGCAGGTGTACCAGCAAGCAAGCAAGTCCCCTACGCTGCCTTGCTGCTGCGCGACTCGGCCCTGCTCTGGTTCCGGACGGAAACGACGAGGGGCAAAATGCCTTCGGGTTGGCAGTCCTTCTGCGACGTGTTCCGAGCACGGTAGCTTCCAACAAACAGCCAGCTGTTGCGACGTCAAGCCTGGGCCAAGTGCCGTCAACACGGTACTGTGGCGCAGTACACCCAGGCTTTCCTCGGTCTCCGAGACGGTGCGGGGTACATCCATGACACAGAGGCCTTGCACCGCTACATTGAAGGCCTGAAGCCAGCCGTGGCCGCCCATCTCACACATGGAAACCCGGCGACGCTCGACGAAGCCATCTCTTTGGCGGAGCACTTCGACGGCTCCTATGGTGAAGCAAGCCCGTTTCGCGGTCGCGGCCAAGTCCTCTCCGGCCCGCACTCTTTGGCGACGTCGTCAGCCAGCAATTTACGAGCTGCTGACAGCCCAAGCTTGTCCCCCTCCGGCCCGACCCCTATGGAGGTCGAAGCAGCTGAGCAGCAACGGCACTCGCAGCAACAGTTCCGGCAGAAACGCAACGGCCAAGCAAGCGGCCTTTCTGCCAAGCAGTGCATCGCCGAAGGTCGCTGTTTCCGCTGCTATGGGTTCGACCACATGGGCAAGGACTGCCCCAAGTTCCCGGATCCGCCCACAAGAGGCAACGGCGGCAACGGCAAGGGCAGCGGCGGCAACGGCGGCGGCTCCTTCTTTTCGAAGAACAAAGGCCGTGGAAAAAACTAGTTCGACCAGCAGACGCGCCCACTCCTGCTGGTGGCCTAGTTGGCGACGATTCTTTGCCATTAACTTCTTTAGTTAATCCCGCGGACGACCATTGCGACGAGGGTTCCTCTTTGGTTCCCGACCCCCCTCCATCATCATATACTAGTGTAGACGTTCTGTCCTCCTTACCTAGTAGCATTTTTGCAAATAAAGACGATCCTTTTATTTGTAATATTGCACCTTCCCATGCTTTCTCTTTAACAGACGCTACTGTTCATATGGGAGAATTGGAGTTTGCTAGACATATCTTGATCTGACGAAATGGCTTTATTAGTGGGCACAAAGCAAGGATTTTGATTGACAGCGGGGCAACACATGATTTTGTGACGGCTGAGTTCCTGAAACAAACAGGACTCATCTCCGTAACTCAATCAACACCTGGCTCTTTCGTAAAAGTTGCCGACGCACGAACAACCGATTCAACATGCTACTTGGACGCAACAGTAGTAATGGACGACTTTTCAACACCTATTCGCCTTTTTTCGGGAATACGCAGCGACGACCATGACGTTATTTTGGGAAAAAGCTGGCTATATGACGAAAACCCGGAAATTGACTGGCGTACGAATGACGTTCACCCACGACCACCACCTACACCAAAGGAAATACAATACGTTCTCATTGTACTGGCAACAAACTCGTTAATGACGTTACTGATGACGGTTTTGTTGTATATGTGCAGAGAAAATTATGGTGGACGGCGATCGTGTTTTTGTTCCTGGACTTGACGACGTATTGGAAAAATACGAAGATGTTTTCCCAGACGACGTTCCCAACGGTCTACCACCTAAGCGCAGTGTCGAACACGCCATACCTTTACTGCCAGACGCCAAAGTACCAGCTCATCGTATGTATCGCCTTTCTACGCATGAGT